CTTTGTTCAGTTCTTCTTGCTTAAAGGTGAATGGACCGTAGACAACATGATAAATCTGTGGCTCATCCACCGAATCAGAGATTGAACGACGTCTACGCCTCAGCACCGGTCTCGGAGGAACATCAGTGGTAGGATCACCTACGCAAGTGGCAGCATTATCTGGACATTGACATTTGGTATAGGCTACATCTGCCAAGCAAACTCTGAAATCGCAGTGGATGTAAACAGAAGCTCCTGCTTCTGCCCCAAAATACCGATAACTTTTGAGTGAGAACATTTCATATTTGCTGCTTTCGGTACAACTGTATGACAATGTGTCGCTGAGGTCTTCGCTGACTTCATCGCTGCCACAACTATAAAGAAATGATGAAAAGTGGTATAATTAAGAAATGTCAGCATAATTCCTCTTACTATTTGAGGTGACACATTTTATCTTTAATGGACAAGATCCAGGTAAATCCATAGCATCGACTGTATGTTCTTGCCTGAGTTGATACCAGGCACTCAACGTACAATAATAGCTTCCTATGAAAACTACAATGGGAGGTTCCAATAAGGGTTTTGGGATGCTTACCATTTATTAGCAAGAAACTGAAAAAAATTGTGAATGGGTTTCATTATTTAAGGGAAGCTTTATTTCTTATAGAAATAAACAGTGTTACTCACTCATGTTTGATCAGAAGTCAGACAATATCTCACAGAAACTCTATCAGAACTCTTTTTAATAAAGTTAAGTGTCAGTCTATCCGGGATATACGCTGGCAGCCATCTTTCACTTAGATTGAGAACCAAAGGAAGTAATAATGATACCAAAACGGTCCACACAAACTGAGTTAAACGACGGTTCACACACAAAAGTATTGATTATTGGAATAAACTGAATTATGATGCGATTACCTCATAAATCACGGTTGAAATTTAAATTTTGAAGTAATTCAGTTGTTCATTTGTATGCCTACATGCCGAATCAAATCCACATCTTTCTAAATGTTTTTCATTTTTAACCTCGTCAGATATTTTTACATTTCCTTTTTTTGAGGTGCTGGACTTACTGAGGAGCTCTTCGATGAGGTGGGTCCTGCTCTGTCTTAAATGTTATAAAATTAATATTCACTGTTATTATCATTGTTGTCGTAATTATATATTAGTCATTTATAACGTGCAAATTTTTATCACAGAAATTCTTACCCGTTGCTTATAAGAGTAAAGTTAGCACCAGTATCATCTGCATTATCGCTTTGTGATGAATAGCATCGCACAGGGTACAAGTCAAGGTTGGGTGCATTGCTTTTAGTCTCGACTTCAGCTTTGAAGAAAATCTCTACATCCAGATCAACAGAGCCGTAAACGGGTATCTTATGTGCGTCGTCCATATACGCCATGAGAGAAAAGGTGAAAACTCCGTCATCTGAAAATGACAAAAGAGACCACAAAAGCCAGTAAGGAAAAGTAAAACAAAGCAAAAGAAATTTTAAAGGGAGTTCTATGTATGTCGTCCAGATATGCCACGAGAGAAAAGGTGAAAAATCCGTCATCTGAAAATGACAAAAGAGACCACAAAAGCCAGTAAGGAAAAGTAAAAAAAGAGAGATTTCTCAAAAGACTTTCTCGAACACATTTGCATTTTTCAAGGATTTTGCTCGTTCTGCTAAAAGCAAGGCTAGATTAGCAAACTGAATGAAGTGCAGATGAGATATCTTTTCAATGATCTGTAACTTCTACTCCAGTAGCAGTTACAGATCACTAATTGACGAAAAAAAACAGTTTAAAAAATTCTACATTTTTTCAGGTTAGTTGATGATAAGAAGTCTTTTTGGACCGGCATGCTCTGGATAGTCCCGTAGCGTTAAGGATGAAAAGTAAAACTTTCTCTATCTCAAAACGAAATACGAATCCATTTTGTACGCATGCATGGCTGTCTTTCAAAATCATGCCAGGCTCTTATAAATGTTTCTCGGCCACTTTATTTTTTGTATCAAATGGAAATCAAATCCACCATATCTTGACAAAGGGATTATTTGATTCTTTTTTTACCATCAGCCA